TCACCATCTCTGACACATCTGACCCCATTGCCATAGTCACTGTGTAAATCTATCTTATCCAGAGTCTTCCTCTCCTGCACCGACCCTCTCTCTCCTTTCAGTTATGATGTACTTCTCCAAGGACTGGTCCCTCCTTGTGATATGTCCAAAGTACGTGAGACGTAGCTTCAAAATCTTTACCTCCAATGAGTAGCCCAGTTTCATCCTCTGCTGAACTGACCTGTTTGTTCTTTTGGCACTCCACAGTATATTCAGTACTCTTCTCCAACACCACAGATCCAAAGCATTGATTCTTCTCCTGTCATCCTTAGTCATTATCCAACTCTCAGATACATAGCAAGCAACTGAGAATACCATGGCTTTGGCCAAGCACACCTTAGTCTTTAGAATTACTTCATTACTCTTTAGCACTATGTAAAGGTCCTTGGTAGATTTTCTCCAAAGGAACCTGTCTTTTGATTTCCTAACTGCTGGTGTCAAGGATCTTGATTGTGGATCTGAGCAAGATGAAATCATTAACGACTTCAATCTTTTCTCAATCTATCATGATGTTGCCTATTGGCCCAGTGGTAAGGATTTTGGTTTATGTTGAGATGAAATCCATATGGAAGGCTGCAGTCTTTAATCTTCTGAAGCAAGTGTTTCAGGTTTTCTTCAGTTACTCAATTATGTCCCCTCATTGTTCACTCCTTCCTAGGGTTTGTGATGGCCTAAATAGAGGTGGTGTTATGTTCCATCAAGTTGCCTGTGACTAGACTAGTTCTTTGGGCCCATCTACACCTAGATTCAGCCCCAATTCACTTACTCATTCATTAATTCAGCCTGGTGCACATGAGATGGGGAAATGTATGAATCAATATTGTTAGAAGATAAAATGGGGGAAGAGAAAAAAGAACAGATAATATTTAAGTACTAGAAAGTGTCAGTGAAAACCAGAGTCGATCTTTCACCAAGAGTTACCTCCTATCTGCGAAGAGGCCTCAGAGCTGAATTGCTGCCCCAGACCAAGTCACTGGTGTCTCTTGGGTTTAGCCTCCTTCTTGCTAAATCGTTGATTTGCTCCCTTTCCTACTTAGGTTTGGCTGTAGCATCCAATGCCAGATCCTTTAGAGATGAGTAAAATATCAGCTGAATTTTCTTGTTGGAATCTGTCCTTGTTCAGTTTTTTCAACTTCTCGCCTTCTTGGGGAATAGAATACATCCCAGATCTTAACCCATTAGCCAGGCTCAAATTGTATTTAACAATATTCCTAATGTCGGCCTGGGCTTTTCCTGCCAGAGGACCCCAGTCCTCACCTCACCTTTGGAATAAAATACACTTAGCAGAGCTTGTTTTCATCCCACTGCAGCCCCCATGAGTCCCTGCAGCCCAACTTACATTTCTATTTCTTGATACTTGTTGGTCCCCTTCTTTTTCAGCAAGCTATGTAGCTGCACCAGTAAATCAACAAATCATTGACAGAAAGAACCAAGGGAGCCTTTACCCTGAAATCAGGCTGATTTCCCTGGATGCCAAGCAGCTCTTGTTGCACTGCTAATCCAAATACCAGAGGTTAGAATCCACTAGCTCTTCCACAGAAGACAAGCAGTCTAACTGCATGAAGATTGACAGCCATAGAAATCCAAAGGAGGGTTACTATGAGTCAGAATCGACTTGATAGCGGCACAGTGTGGCTCAGTCCCTAGATGTCAGACATTTTCTCTCACTGACCTGTGAAATCTGCTACATTCTTGTTGTTTCTCAACATTAAGAGAGCAAAAGTCCTCATCACTGGACCAACGAACAACATCATGAAAGATAGAGAAAATATTTACATTTCAACGATTTAATTTTACTTAGATTCACAATCAACACCATTGGCAACAGCAGTGAAAAAAACAAAAGATGTGTTGCATTGGGAAATCTGCTGTCAAGGGCCTCTCCAAAGTTCTAAAGAGCAATGAAGTCCCCTTAAAAATTAAGGTGCACTTTATTCCAGCATTAATATATTTTTTCCCTATACATCTGAATCAAAACCTCTGGACCAGTTGGCAGCATCAGGATGGATGGTGAAGAGATTGAGATTGTTCACAGCTTTAGTCTGCTTGTCTCTACAATCAACACTCTTGGCACCAACAGCTAGGAAATTAGAAGACGTACTGCCATGGGAAAGTCTGCTGTTAGGGACCTCTCTAAAGTACTAAAGAGCAATGGTGTCTCTCTGAAGACTAAGGTGCGTCTGATACAGGCCATGGTCTTTGCAATCACTTGTTATGCATCAGAGAATTGGACAATGACTAGAGAGAATAGAAGGAGAATTGATGCTTTTGAGCTTTGGTGTTGGAGAAGAGTATTGAGGGTACCATGGACTTCTAAGAAAACAAACAGATTCATCCTTGAGAGGGTTAAACCAGGCTGTTCCTTGGAGGCAAGGATTCTGAGGCTTCATCTGACGTATTTGGTCATGTTGGAAGGAGGGATCAGTCCTTGGAGAAGGACATCATGCTTGGGAAGGTGGAGGGACAGGACATGACAGGAAGGCCCTCTAGGAGGTGGATTGATTCAGTGACTGGGGTAATCGGGATGTGTGTGTCGGAGACAGTGAGATTGGCGCAGGACAGAGCAGAGTTTAGGGCTGTTATTCATAGGGTCACTATGAGTGGCAAGCGACTCGATGGCACATAACAACACCAACAACAAACATACAACTGAGAGTTAGACAGTGAATAAGGAAGACAGAAGAAAAATTGAAGCCTTTGAACCATGGTGTTGACAAAGAGAATTGAATATCTTATGGAATTCCAAAAGAACAAATAAACTTGTCTTATAGGAAGCATGACCAGAGCGCTTCTTCGAGGCAAAGATGGTGAAACTACGCCTCATTAACTTTGGGCATATTTTCAAGAGGAATCAGTACTTAGAGGGAGACAACATACTGGGAAAGGTAAGGAGGGATTGTCGAAAGACATGAACACCCTCACAAGACAGCGTGACACAGTGTCCACCACAGTGGGTAGAGCACAAAAGATCGTGAAGATGGTGCCGGACAGGACAAGGTTCAGCTGTGTTCATAGAGTCTACTCAACAGCCCTAACAACAGCAATCTCATTGTTTGATTTCTGGCCCCAAGACCCTCAGTTTGTTTCAACTATGGTTAACCTCTTGTTTGACGTCTTCACTTTCCATCTTCCAATGTTTTTATGTTCCACTGGAACACCAGCTTTTGTTTTGTCAGTCTTTGTTTTTCCTAACACCTTTGAGAATATCACCCAGACCCTATCTGTTTGGTCTGTTCCATCTTGTACCCAAGAGCAGCTTATTTTAGCTTCAGCATGAAGAAGGAATCCGTAAGGGTGAGGTCTCCTGACCTTTCTCACTATTAATGGTAAATGTGTATAATCTTTCCCGTTTTGGAGTCAAGGTCGCACGTAGAGGTTAATGCTTGCTGGTCTTATCACTACCAAAAAGGAAGCTACAAAAGTAAAAATAAATTCTAAAAGCATTGTCTCTGGAATGTTCACTGACCTTGTGAAGTTCTCCATCCCTACTTGTTATACAGATCAGGCCCAGGTGTCTGCTGACCAGCAATCTGGAGATGCAATGTGAGTTACTCCTGCGGTACCTGTTTGTGCACCCAGCTTTCATAGTGTTTACCATCTAATGTCATGAGAATAATTATCATGCAATAAAGCTTTAGACTGCATATAATAGCCCTGAAATAAGAATAGTAAGGAAAGGTAATTTTAGTATTTACAAAATAACTGTAATAGCTTGCTTGCTTTCAGGCACAATGCCACACATTTCAGATGGGGATGTTACACGTGAGAAAAATACAGAGATGTTAAGTACTTTGCCTGAAGTTTGTGATAGTCAGGTTTTGAATACATGCAGTCAGATTTTAGAGCCTTAACCATAAAAGATTCATTTGATGTGGAACTCTGGTGGCTTAGTGGTGAAGAGTTGTGCTGCCAACCCAAAAGCAGGTGGTTCAAATCCACCTGCTGCTCTGTGGGAGAAAGATGGGAAATCTGTGTAACTTACTGCTTCTGAAAACCTGACAGGGGGTCAGCTATGAGTCAGTTCCAGCTCAATGGCACATAACAAAACAACCACCATTAACATTTCTTTTGATTATTGTTTTCTCAAACAAACTGGCCTTTTTTGTTTTCAAGAGTGTATTCTGTTTAGAAAATTACTTAGGAGTACAAAGAGACGTTCATCCTTATGATAAGCAGCTTCTTAGATCAGACATTTAAGTGACAACAATTATTGGGACTTATTTCAGAATTCATTGTATAAAACTTTTGGATAAACAGCAAAAAACAATGGAGGTGGCTGTGGGAGAGTTGGCTATTTCAGTACAAGAACCAGAATTCTTCACTTCATTTGGTGTGTAAGCTTGAATCACAATGTGTTTCATCCTTGATGAACCTTCAGCTTTCTTTCTTGAATCACAGTGTGGTGGTTCTGTGATTCAACACTAATCTTACACATTTCTCCTTTTTAGTAGTCTGCCATTAATCCAGTATATTTGAAATTACTATTTAGATTTTAAATATGTTTGAAAATACTGTATAACACAGGAGAGGCTAGAAAGCATTATGCTGAGTGAAGTCGCTCGGGCACATCAGAACATTTGCCTGTATCAGACCATTATTGTAAAAGCAGAAGGATAACCAGTGAGATGTCTATAGACATACAAAGAGGGAAGGCGAGGGGTTATAGGGGCTGTGGGTGGGGTGAGGGAGATCACAGAATCATAGTTTGGTGGATGGAGAGAGGGAGCGGGGGGGGGGAAATTGACATGTATGAAAGACAATTTTTAAAAATGAAATTACTATTTTAGATTGATTTATAAACCAAACAACAACACAAAAAGATCTACTGGTCTACGAATGTAATGAACTTTAGCTCAACTGTTTTGTAAGTGGAAGTGACAGTAAAATTATACTTATTAAAGAGGAAGGAGCAGAAACTTTCCTTTTTAAAATAAAATTCTAACTTCATGTTCTTGAAACAGAGCCTACTTACTCTTTGCCAAAGCAGCTGACATGGGGAACTTGAAAGCAATGGAGAAAATGGCTGATGCCTTACTGTTTGGAAATTTTGGCACGCAGAACATAACAGCAGCTGTCCAGTTATATGAGTCCTTGGCCGAAGAAGGATCGTACAAAGCCCAAAACGTGAGTCTTGCAAGGAAACAAAACCTTAAATAACTGTAGACAAAGAACGTGGGAAGAGTTAAGCAATAGTATTTCCAGGCTAATATACAGATTCAAGGGAGGTTAGCATACTAAATTGCAATGAAGAGTTTGGAGCAGAATTAGAACAGAACTGCTTTCTAATCCACCTTCCTGTCTTCTGTGTCTTTCTGAATGTTTTGAGATAATGTGGAACCTCTGAATCCCTAGAAGAGTCAATTTTTTTAAATCAAATATCTTCATCTATATGAAGAAATACGGCATTGAATCTATTTTGGTAAAATGTTTGTCTAGTTTTAACATTTCAACTATTTTATATGCTAAATATATTTTCTTTTATATTTTAATAAATAGTAAAATTCAGATAATTTAATATTTATATTCTACATAAAACATTAAACATACAATTTAAACTTGGTGTCCTAGTGGCAAGAAGCTGCTCTGTAATCCTGAAGGCACATGGCTGGAGTCCATCAGCTGCTCTGCGAGAGAGGGATGGGCACTCTGCTCCCATGCAATTAACTGCTTCTGAAAACCTGCTAGAGTGTTAGCTATGAGTCAGTTCTGACTCAATGGTACACAACAACAACGCATGTTGCCTGCAAACCACAGTGTCCTTTTGTACAACAGCTGTGAAGCCTGCCCTATTCTGAGCCAGTCTCACTGATTCCTACACACCTACCCTCACTACTCCCCCCCACATTACACTATCAATCCATCTCATCCAGAGTCTTCCTCTCCTGTGCTGTCCCTCCACCCTTCCAAGCATGATGTGCCAAAAGTGTGTGAGATGGAGCTTGAAAATCCTAGTCTCGAAGGAGAAACTTGGTTTCACCTTCTCCAAGATAGACTTACTTGTTTTCTTGGTGGTCCATGGTATGTTCAAGCAGCACCAACTGAAAGGCATCAATTCTTCTTTTGTCAACCTTAGTCATTGTCCAGCTCTCTGATGCATAGCAAATAATTATAAAGACCATGGCCTGGATCAGGCGCGCCTTAATCTCTAGACTGACATTATTGCTTCTCAGTACTCTGGAGAAGTCGCTGACAGCAGATATTCCTAATGAAATTTCTTTTGATTTCCTGCCTACTGGTGCAAAGATTGTTGATTGTGGAACTGAGCAAGCTGTAATTTTTAATAACTTCAATCTCTTCTCCATCATGGTGTTGCCAATTGACCCAGTGGTGAGAATCTTTGTTGTGTTTTTTTTAAAAAAATTTTTTTATTTTAAACTGGTTTACATACATTAAGTTCATATATATTGTTTTTCTCACGGAAACTTTCCCCTTTCCTTTACCAATCCTACCTTCCACCCATCAAATTGTGTGACTCCATGTTTAACCCCACCCCCTTGGATCCTCATACATGCACAATAATGGTCCTATGCATTATTTGTCTTTGTAAGATTGAGTTAGTACACTTAGCATAATGCTCTGCAGTCCTTCCCAAGTCAAGTAGTAATTTACAAAATCATTACTCCTGTGTGCTGCATAGTATTCCATTGTGTGAATGTACCATAATTTCTTAATGCATTTCATTGTAGTTGGAAATTTGGACTGTTTGCATGTTCTTGCTATAGTGAGTAATGCTGTTATGAACATTGGTGTACAAGTCTCTGTTTGGGCCTCAGTTCTCATTTTCTCAGAGTATACTCCAAGCAGTGGAATAGCTGGTTCATATGGAATTTCTATGTTCAGTTTATTGAGGAAGCACCAAACTGCCTTCCATACTGGTTGTACCATTTTACAATCCCACCAACAATGTATAAGAGTTCCTAACTCACCACATCCTCTCCAACATCTATTAATTGATGCCCTGCTAAAGTTTGGTACTGCTAGTGGGATAAGATGGTATTTCATTGTGGTTTTGATTTGCATCTCTCTTATTGCCAGTGATTTTGAGCATTTCTTCATGTGTCACTGGCCATCTGAATGTCCTCCTCTGTAAAAAAATCTTTCCATGTCTTTTTCCCAGTTCAGTCTTTTTGTGTGTGTGTGAAGGCCCTATAGGATTCTGTAAACTTTCATTGTATCGCCAAATGTTTGTTCCCAGTCAGTAGGTTTTCTTTTCACCCTGTTGGAAAATCTACAGTCAACTGATATTCAACAGGGAAACAAAACCTATCGGATGGGGAAATGATAACCTCTTCAACAAATGGTAAAAACAAATGGCAAAACTAGACTGCTACCTGCAGAAAGCTGAAACAGGATCCACATCTCAAAACATGCACAAAAATCAACTAAAAATGGATCCAGAGACCTCAGAATAAAGCCCAAATCATATAGCTCATAAGAGACAAACTGAGACCAAGCTTAGAAGGCCTATGGAATAAAGGGACAGCCAAATACAGCCAGAAATGCACAATCCTGAAGAGGATAAAATGATGAATGTAACCTTCTAAAGATTAAATCTCTGTGCTCATCAAATCTTTGTCTTCTTGATGCTGAGCTTCAATCCATATTGAAGACTACAGTCCTTGACCTTCTGCAGCAAGCGCTTCAGGTTCTCCTCAGTTTCAGCAAGTAAGTAAGTAGGTATATTAATTAATTAATTTGGGGAGCTCTTGTGGCCTAATGGATAAGGTGTTGCACTAACAATCCAAAGGTAGTCAGTTCAAATCCATTACGTACTCTAAGAGAGAAAGATGGACAGTCTCTTCCTGTGTGATATACAGCCTTTGAAAACTCACTGGCTATGAATCAAAGCTGACTCTATGGCAATGAAGTTTTTTTCATATTAATTTGTATTCATTAAGTCCATAACTGTTTTTTAGACTCTTACACAGATTAACATGCTTCAACTAAAAGAAGCTACCCTGGATATGTTCACCAGTCTCTGGCAGGAAATTTTGAGGACAGCTACCTGATTGACTTCCTGAAAGAGGTATATTTGTGTTCCCATTCCCAAGAAAGGTGATCCAATAGAATGTGTAAATTACAAAAAATATTCACTAATATGACGTGCATGCAAAATATTGCTGAAGATCATGCATAAATGCCGGTACACTCCATTGTCAGGGAACTGCCAGAGAGTCAAGCTGGGTTTAGAAGAGGCCATGGCGCCAATTGTGGATGTCAGATGGATCCTAGCAGAAGACAGAGAATATCAGAAAAAAATGTCTATTTTGTTTTATTGGCTGTGCAAAGACATTTGACTATGTGATTCACAACAAATTATGGCTGACATCTAGAAGAATGGGAATCCACTAACTTAATCCATTAATCCACTTAACTGTGTTCATGTGAAATCTATACCTAGATCAAGAAGCTGTTGTCAAAAGGGAACAAGTGAACACCGCATGGTTTAAAATCAGAAAGGATATGCATCATGGGTGTATCCTATCTCCATATCTATTCAATCTGTATGCTGAGAAAATATTTTGTGAAGCCAGACTCTATGAAGAAGAATATGACGTCAGGAACAGAGGGCGACTTATCAACAACCTACATTATACAGATGACGTAACTTTGCTTGCTGAAAGTTAGGAGGACCTGAAACATTTGCTACAGAGGATCAAAGACCACAGCCTTCAAAATAGATTACATCTCAACATTAAGAAAACAAAAGTCCTTACCAATGGGCCAATAGACAGCATCATGATGTTGTTGTTGTTGTTGTTATGTGCCATCGAGTCGTTTCCGACTCATAGCGACCCTATGCACAACAGCTCTAAACCCTGCTCTATCCTGCGCCAACCGCACCGCCTCCGACACACCCATCCCGATTACCCCAGTCACCGAATCAATCCATCTCATAGAGGGTCTTCCCCTCCTGCGCTGTCCCTCCACCCTCCCAAGCATGATGTCCCTCTCCAAGGACCCGTCCCTCCTGGCAACATGTCCAAAGTATGTCAGACGAAGCCCCAGAATCCTTGCCTCCAAGGAGCAGCTTGGTTTAATCCTCTCCAAGATGAATCTGTTTGTTTTCCTGGCAGTCCATGGTACATTCAGTACCCTTCTCCAGCACCACAGCTCAAAAGCATCCACTCTCCTTCTGTCCTCCCTAGTCATTGTCCAACTCTCTGATGCATAACAAGCGATTGCAAATACCATGACCTGTATCGGGCGCACCTTAGTCTCCAGAGAGACACTGTTGCTCCTGAGTACCTTTGAGAGGTCCCTAACGGCAGTCTTTCCCATCGCGATATGCTTTTTGATTTCCTGACTGCTGGTACCAAGAGTGTTGACTGTGGAGCCGAGCAAAGTGAAGCTGTGAACACTCTCAATCTCTTCGTCATCCATCCTGACGCTGCCAATTGGTCCAGTGGCGAGAATCTTTGTCTTCTTGACGTTGAGCCTTAGTCCATACTGAAGGCTGCAGTCCTTGACCCTTCGCAGCAAGTGCATCATGATAGATAGAGAAAATAATTGAACTGTCAATGTTTACACCTTGCTTGGACCCACAATCAATATCCTTGGTACCTGCTGTCAGGAGTATTGCTTTGGGCTTGGCCACTGTCAGAAAATTCTCCAAGATACTTAGCAGCAATAATATTTGTTTAAAGAAATGCACTTGAGTGTGCCTGATTCAGGCTGCGATCTTTTCAGTTACTTGCTATGCTTAATAAGTGAGGATAACAGAAGAATTGATGCCTTTGAGTTATAGTGTTGGAGAATAATACTGAATATCCCATGGGCTGCCAAAAGAATGAACAGGTATGTCTTGGAATAGGTGCTCCTTGGAAGCAAGGATGGTGAACCTTCGTCTCTTATACTTTGGGTATGTTACTAGGAGAGGTGTTCTATGAAAATGAATATAATGCTTGGAAAGGAGGAGGGTCAATGACAGAGAAGATGCCCCTAACAAAATCGATTGACCTGATGACTGCAGCAATAGCCTAATGTATGTCAGAGATTATGAAGATGGCACAGGATAGGACACTGTTGAGGTCTATTATTCGTAGGGTCACTATGAGTCATACTTGACAGCATCTAACAATAAGTTATGGGTTAAACACTGTCTTCACTGATGAAGAGAAAAA